ACCTGGAAAAGGCGTTTGACAGAGTATGCCACCGGGTGCTGTAGGAGGTTCTAAATAAAGCCAATGTAGGTAACATTGTTTTTGAAGGAGTCAAGATGGCGTACTCAGGTTGTACGACGCGTCTTGTCATTAACAATTCCTTGTCAGAAAAGATTAATGTCCTATCTTCTGTGCGAAAGGGGTGTCCCATGTCTTCTTTATTATTTTGTCTCTAGCTTGAGCCGCTCTGTCTAAGTGTTATCAGAAGCGAGCACGTTGAGGGGTACACAATGGGGAACGTGGAAGTGAAAGTACTGGCATATGCTGATGATGTTGCTTTTTTCTGTCAGGACAAGACTAGCATTTCAAAAATTTTAGATTTGTGCAAAATTTTCTGTGATGCTACAGGTGCTAGTATTAACAAAAATAAATGTCTCGGGATATGGTACGGGCAGGGGGGCGATGCGCCGGTTTTTTTTTGAGGGGATTCATTGGACATGTTCCCCAGGTAGATACCTGGGAGCTCCTCTGGATCACATGGAAAAGAGTTCGCCTTACTGGGAAGGTGTGATAGAGGATTTGAAGGAACGCACGAGGAAATGGAGGGGTCGTAACATGTCTATTTTCACCAGGGCTTCTGCTTGTAATATTTTTTTAACCGCGAAACTTTGGTACGTTTTGCAAGTGCTATACTGTGCGCGCTGCAATATTAAAAAAATGCATAGAGTTTTTGCGCTGTTCATTTGGCAATGTGCTGGAGAACCGATGCGACGAGATAACCTTTTTCTTCGTCCGCTCAAAGGCGGTCTTGGGCTGTCTCATTTGTTTCTTAGGCAGTTAGTATCGCGTTTTATTTTTATGAGAGACCAGAGACACCCATTATTATAAGTCATGTTTCAAACGAAACTTACCAGTCATTTGCCAGAATTTTTTGTATCGTCCGTTATCGGTTCCCCAGCAAAGATGGTTGGGTTTGTTAAGGAAGTAGTTGCCGCCTTTCGTTTTTTGAGTGTACGGTACTCTTTGGAATACTTGGCCACCGTTAAAAGGCGGACCCTGTACCGACACCTACTAGAAAGTGTTTTTCCTGTACCTGTTTATCGTTCACTATATGAAAACGGACCTGGAAATGATGTGTTATGCCGAGTTAAGAAGATGAGAATACCTCCATCCGCAAAATCCTTTTTCTTTCGCCTACATTCTGAAACGCTGCCGGTAAAAACCTGGCTTTGGGAAAGAGGTTTGCCTGTTCCTGGGGGCGTTAACTGCCCACTATGTAAAGTCCCGGAGACAGTAGAGCACTCCTTTTTGTACTGCTGGGACGCTGTTTTTCTATGGGATGTTCTCAAGAGGACTTTGAAGAAAGAATTTGTCATAACATCCTATAATATACGTTTTCTGGCTGTTGAATGTGAAGATAATGTTCCCTATGATCTTTTTATGCTGCTAGCAATATTCAGTCTCTGGAAATCTCGCATGTCGGTTGGACATGCCGAGCACCCACCGAAAGGGGCAAGAGCATTTTTGATTGAACTGGTAACCCAGGTGAAGAGTGTCTATGAATACAGTGAGAGTATGTCGGAATGGGCAAACCTTTTTGATGATGTGATGAAAATGAAAGAATTTTAATTGTACGTCTGCCTACAAGTGCTGGGTAGTCGTTTTTATTGTTTTAAAACGCTGAATAAAGAAAAAAAAAAGCGGCCGTAGCCTAAGGGTTATCGCGCTTGCCTCCCACGCGAAGGGCCAGGGTTCGATTCCTGGCCGCGACTATGCATTTTTGTTAACACTGTAACGTGATGTTCTGGTGAAATCGAGAACCGTCTAGCTGATTCGAGGTCAGAATGTTCTACGCGTCGAACTTTCCACGCCGATTATTCCAGAAGCCCACGCATGTACATAAGGGGCTCCGCGTGGCGAGCCACATTCAGTTTCGTCCCAGCGTTTGACTCTGCTGTTACGCCGACTTCGACGCCCGCGACGCTCTCTTATTGTCTTTTGTACCCTTTTATTTTTGGCACAAGTTCGCCACATTAAACGTTTATTTATTCCTGAAAAAAAATTAAAAAAAATGCATAGTCGCGGCCAGGAATCGAACCCTGGCCCTTCGCGTGGGAGGCAAGCGCGATAATCGTTCGGCTACGGCCGCCCTGCCTGCTTGGTGCGCGGCAATATCCTTTCAAAATTAGTTGATTTAGTGGCTTTTGATGATGCTCTACAAGTTTCTAATTGAAACCATATGTCTATTTTCAGTAATTAAAATTTCGTTAACATCAACATGTGGAAAACTTCTTGAACATATAATTTCGACCCATATACATTCTTTTTCGAGAAATCATAACTTGTTGAATAGCTTTCAGCATGGATTTCGCAAGGGTTTGTCTACTGTCACTCAGCTTGTTGAAGTTGTGCATGATTTTTCCGAGATTCTGAACCGCAGGGGTCAAGTTGACGTAATATTTTTACACTTTAAGAAGGCGTTTGATCAGGTTAACCATAGGAAATTATTGATCAAGTTAAAATCTGTTTTAAAGAATCCCGTATTAATCAGATGGATAGAGATGTTTTTATATGAACGGAGGCAATTCGTAGAAATCAAAGATAAGCACTCCGATATGAGTGATGTCAAGTCGGGAGTCCCCCAGGGCACGGTCCTCGGACCGCTATTCTTCCTAATATTTATAAACGACATAGTTAAAACCCTTACCGTCCAGGCTAGATTATTCGCCGATGACTGCATATTGTACACAGAAATTAAGACGCCCATGGACCAACTTAACCTAAATACATGTATTGCGCGCATTAGTAAATGGTGCAATACATGGCAAATGTCGTTAAATTTTCAAAAAACCGTTTGCATGACAGTTACTGACAAAACTAAATTCAGTGTGTTTGCATGTGAGTTAGAAGGAAACCCGATTGAAAGGGTTAGCAAATACAAATATCTGGGTGTGACTTTTTCTCACGATCTACGCTGGGGAACGCACATAGATAATGTTGTTAAACAAGCGAACGCCAAATTGTGGTACTTTAGACGGTCCCTAAAACTGAGTTCAGTCAACACAAAACTTTTGGCATATAAAACGCTCGTTAGGCCGGTTATGGAATATGCATGCGAAATCTGGGACCCCCACACTAAGCAAGATGCCCTTAAATTAGAAAGAGTGCAGAGGCTCGCTTTGCGCTTTATATTTTCTAAATATCGTCGATTAGATTCGCCGACGGCTTTGTACTCGAGAGCCAAATTTTCGCTACTAAGTACTAGGCGTAAAGTGAAAAGGTTAAAATTTCTTTACATGATTTTTAATGATTATCTAGAGATAGACAAGACAGCTGACTTAATTCCCGATGCGTCTAGAATTACACGTAACAAACATAGTCGTGCCCTTCACCAGCCCTGCTGCTTCAAAGACTGTTTTAAGCATTCTTTTTTTCCCCTAACGATAAGCGAGTGGAACTCTCTCCCAGAACAAGCAGTATCGTGTCAATCGCTGGAATCTTTTTGTTCTTATCTTGCATTTGATGACGTGGGCAGCAATTTCTGAAATTGCATGTTTATTTAATTACTTTTCTCTTTTTGTCGCGTCATGATTTCCTGCCAGCGTCATTCTTCCATTGTTGTATTGATTTTACATTTTTTCCCAGCGCCGATTGATTCTTCTGCAATATATATTTAGGACGGGTTTGCAACGAATGCAGTTAAATTGTCAAGTTTTTGTTGTGTTCTTTTTATTTTTTCCTTCAGTGTTTATAAAGTTTTTGTTCATGCCCTCCCTATCATAGTCCCATGTAGGGACTGATAGTATTTTGAAATAAATAAAAATAAATAAAAGTTAATTAAGAAATTTTAATTAATTAACCGACTTCTCCCAAAGATTAGCCACCCACATAATGTCCGCCTGGCCGTATAACCCACCTGCACAAACTGCATTAGTGTAGCTTTCACGGACTTGTTTAAACAAATGTATAACAATAAAAAAGCACCCTGTATATAGGAGGCAATGGTTGAACTCTGAAGCATAACAACGCCTCTATAAGCACAATCACTGCTCATTTGCAGGGTCCCATTAGGAATATTTAGGTCCTTGGTAAGCACAAGAAGGGCAGCGCAAAACCGTAATGCAGTAAATACAGTTTCATTCGTGCATAAAAATAAAAAGAAGGAAAATTTTGCTCATGCTTGTGCCAGTGTCGAGCTGTCTCACGCTGTACAGAGCCTACCCATAACAAGTCGGGGGTTTATTTGAGCCATTTTATTTTTGCTATGAACGAACGTTCCACATCAACCGATGCTTGCAAAGCATGCTTCTGCCTCGGCTTGTTTGATGCGAGTCCACTCCAAGATCTTAGAATGTTCGCGTATGAAAACCCTCGGGTTTCCTTCGAGCTCAGAAAATCCACCGAATAACGAAAAACGACGTTATTTGAACCCGCTTCGCCCGCTAACTGTTCCAGGGTACAGCGGCTAGGGGACGCAAGACACCCCCCCGGTTCGAATAGTCGCTTATCAACCCAGAACTAGCGCACATAGCCATATGACATAGCCACGAATGGGTGGATGCATTCTTCAGGTGCACCTGAAGTTTGTTGTTGCCATGTGGTCATTCACGCCGCTTTAATTCGATCTTGGTGCGCTTTTTGTTACGCGTGCCCTGAGGTTTTATGTTTAACGGCTTTTACTGTTTTGTTTTTTGAGTGTGCGTGTATTGAAAGAGAATATTGGGTAGGCGATACTCGATTCAACATTGAAAATGTATTATACTCCATTTCTATTCGAGCTGAAATTTAAACATTTGAACACCCCTAATTATAATAAATATTTAGCGTGGCGTGAAAGGGTTATTCCAACAAATGTATCGAGAAAGTGTCCTATATACGTTGAAACACTTTTTCTTTATTTACTAGTTACGATGGAGCCGTGCAGGAAGTCAATTATAATCGCGATTCCACTATGCCGTAACTTGAATCAACACCCGGAGCCAACTTGAACGACAACATCGGTGTTCGATGTGTGCCCACACTTAGGGTCCCTGTTTGGAGGCTCGCACCACAAAGACGTCGACCGCCAAGAGGGAACCACTGGCTTCTTTGTCGGCCCACAGCCGTTTCGCTTCGACGGTGGCGTCTTCGAGGAGCAACTGCTTCTCTTCTTCTGTCAAAAGCGCCCGTATGGAATTTGTGGCCATCAAGTCCTCTGCAAACAAATTAATAAATACAATAAAAAAATGCGTTTTTTTTTTTTTTTTTTGTCAGGCGTATTTTGCGGGATGCGGCTGTAGTCGCACCCAAAGCACGTGGAGCGTAAGCTTGGGCTCGCGTCACAGAACCCGAGAATCCAGGGTTCGCTAGCTCGACGTGAATGAGAACGGGGCTTGCGGGCGGTCGTGTGCTTACTACGGCCTGATGTACGCTACGGGTTAGCGCAAACAAGCGACCGCCGTTTTATTGTTTTCTAAATCGTAAGATTCTCACAAAAATTACTAGTGGGATGGGAACATTTGAGGTTACTTCACCTTAGCGGCAAAGTGTGGTGCCCATCGATACCCTTTCAAAGTAATACGCTAAAAAAAGCCGATGTCGTGTTAGCACTAACAGTGTCGAGGAGTGTACGTTAAATGCATCAAGTTAGCAGACGTGCTGCGCAGAATAAATTGTTTCTGAACTGCGGTAGCACCAGACTTCATTTTAAGACGATTTCCGCCATTTGGACTTTTCCATCTAATAAATGTGGATTGGACTTTTAAAGTGTCAATTTTACGTGTGATGATAAAATATTGTTTGACATTTATTTAAGACTCTGAAACACCCGAAGATTTTTTTTAACAAAATAATCTTGAAGCTGATTTTTAATAAACGAACTTGGATTTCATTGTGTGTGCATCTTTCATATATAAATATATAATTTATTTCTAAAAAAAAAAACAAGAAAAAAACACTCGAAGCACATTTCCACGCACACGCATCCAACACCTACTTAGGAAGAGACACATACACTATCGCAAGAACGTGCGCGCGTAAGGAAGTGCCTATCAAAGATTCGAGGCTGGAAACGTCGAAATATCTTATAATAAGAAAACCTAGGAAAAATTCGCTTCAAAAGTAATTGTGTGTATGTCTAGACAACCGAAAGTAAACCAGCCCCAGTGGGCATCTGGTGTCTCTGCTGTATGTGAAAAATTTGGCTCTGCAGTACGTACCATCGCCAGCTCGGGGTCTTTAGCACGGATCACGCAGTATAGTGATATACGACCGCACGCCTCTACAATATGCTCATCCAGACCGAAACGGTCAGAGATAGAAATAGAACCCAAAATCCCTGGGTTCTGCAGAACGAAACTTTCGTGTTTCATATTTTTTTTAATTAAGAATTAGTGCGAGGGCACGATAATCGCAATCAAGTGCGCAACAAGGGTTACTTACGGGTCAGGTGTTCCGGGCTGGTGTAACGCTCGGTCGAGTCACGCCTGACTTGGCACATGGACGGGACCAGGTTGGCTCTCTTCAGAACGCCCAACATGTAAGAGAGGAGCTCATCTTCCCCGGCCAGGTCTACGGTTGGTGGAATGTCACCTCCGCAAATCTTTAAAACAACATTAAAAAAATTCAGTGAGAAAACAGTTAGCGCTAAAAGTGGTAATTTCACAGCCGACGCTACGCTACGACGGAGCCACTCAAGCAGCGCCAGAAGTGCAACGTCATCACGGCACTCAGCGTCTCTCATGTCGTTTAACACCTAAAACTGTAATGCAGAAAAAAAAACTTTAGACGAAGGAACAAGCACAGCTTCTTCCTTCGACTAAAATGTTTTCTTTTTCTTTTTCCTTTCGTGCCCCACGGACTCGGCTGTTAAACGCCACGATTAGCTACAACCAACTCGCCTGCGCACTTGGACTTTTTAACTCATCATCTATATACGTGTGTTTACTGTTGCCGACTAAACCAGTCACACACGGGGAATGCACCGCGATTCTGCGCTTGTACCCGCGCGTTATTGGTTTAGCCCAGGGTAGAAGAAAAAAAATCACGATATGTTTACCAGATCAATCAAATAAAATTTATTTGATTTAAACCAGATTGATTCAATCAAAATCACTGTAGATAGAAAAAAAGCTATTATTTCTGTATTTAAATATTGCAAAATGATCGACCGATTCGTGCGGTCACTGAAAACAATGCCGAAGATAGAAATATGGTAAATTTAAATCGTGTAATTTTATTAGCAACCTTTTATTCCTGAAGATCTTACAACGACATTTTTTTTTTGTACATGTCGATTTTTTAACGATAGGACATTAAGTAACACGATGAACGAAGTGGAAAAACGAAAGCTCAACGATCTAATAGGTTAAAAAAAAAGAACGCTTTTTGTGTGTGTGTGTTCAGCCTGCTATACATCTTTCTTGTTTGGTGATTCTTTGATTTAAATACAAAACGAATGCAACGAATACATATAGAAAGTATGAATTAGTAGAAAAGCGGCGAATAAAAATATTTTGTTCATTTTGGTTTGCGAGAATGGTGCGATTTAAGCCATCATAATAAAACTGGTGTGATTTAGATCTCGATTTAAATTATGATATATATCATGATTTAAACCACCTTGATTTTATTCTCTACCCTAATTTAGTAGGTGATTAAAAAAAACGAGAGCCGTGACGTTGCAGTTTTGGTGCTGCCTGATTGACCCACAGGATGGTACCGTCGTCTGCGGCCGGATTTAAAGCGAGAAGGAGTATATTGTACGTGGCTTGTTGCTTACAAGACAAAAATAATCAATTGACTCCGTAAGTATGACGTCATGGGTCCAAACAAACCGTTGCTAGGGTGGTTGTTGTGGGCAAATACACGTGGCTATAGGTTTCACTACGAAAACCGGACCGTTCCAATATCAGGAGTAGGGAACTTCTAAAAATCGCTGATAGAGAAAGCTTGAATGTCAAATGTGTTTCGACAGAAGTGTGCCGGTAATCGCTCGTTTCTGAAATATTTACGACTGCAACTTCCGGTCCTCAAGATGCCTGCAGCAGACGACGAATGCAAGACGTATGCCGTCTGCCGCACGTCCGCCGGCCAAGCCGGCGCCGTCGTTGGAATCGTGTGAATAAAGCCGATATTCTGATATTGAATTTGTTTAAAATATAATGAGTTTCAAACACTTATAAGAATTCGTAGCGGGGTGCGATGCAAAATACGGTAAATCCCATATTCTGTTTGGTCATAATGTCTTAAAATATGATCCTATATTTATATATTAATGCTATAATATTGATAAGTAATATCACGCAAGTAGTAGTGAGAGTAAAATACAGCTCAAACTTGCAATAGTCTTACATTGCTATGATAAAACAGCGTTGAGAAGTATGGCTGTGTCCATGCGCTATCCGGTTATTTTGTTTATGCTCATAAAAAAAACATCACCTTTGGTGATGTTTTTTCATTGTGCTGTTCATATGTTCTTCTGTTCGGACTAGCTTTTTATAATTTAGTATTTAGTAAAAAAAAAACAGAAAAAAAACTCACATTACAGAGGCCTCTACGGCCATGGCGATGCACTTGTTTTTGTCGCTCGTTTACCGACGCAATTCAATGAAGACGCCCGCGGCAACAGAGACCAGCAAATCTATCGTGTCGTATGCTACCAAAGCAAAGCGGAGTGTAATACTTCAGAAATGCCTTTCATCGTTCTAATACGACACTGAGACGACGAGAACATCTTCATAATTAGGTGTCAAGAAGTTCGGTTGCTTACAACAAAAAAATTTACTTACTCGTAAGCCAAAATCTAGCCTCATGTGGAGTCTCCATGCATTAGTTCATAGCAACGTCCCTAGCAACGGTTTGTTTTGACCCAGACGCCATGTTATGACATAGTCACTTATGGTACAGTGTACTAGAATAGGGAATATTCATTGGCGGCCATAGCTGTGTGCGCCACGGCTGAGCGCGTGCTGATGGCGAGCTTCCACAGTTCTTTTCTAACGTGCATTCCGCACCCTCAAGATTGCCGGTCTTAGCGGCCTATTAATATGGGCTCAGTCTGAGCATGCGCTCTAAACAGCACCCACAAATATGGCGCCCAGTGAATACTCCTTATACTTGGGTAGTGTTGGGACCGGAGCGGCTCGGCAACGGGAGCTCGTGAGGGCGCGTGTATTGACAGTTCGTGGTGGCGCTGTAGTCGAGCTATCTGGAAAAAATCGCGCAGCCCGCCTTTTTTCTTTTTTTTTCCACTTTGAGCAGTGCACGTGTCGGTACCACGGGTTTATACACTTCGTTTCACCTTATGTTGGACCGCAGCGAAGGCTAGAAGCGCGAGCTCATGGCGTTGGCAGCTGCCCTTGGTGCACGAGAGCTTGTGCCGCCGAGATGTGCCCTAGAGCAAGGCGCTCGCGCTTGTAGACTTTCCTGCAGTACGACACAAGGTGAAACAGAGTATAGTTCCGTGTGTTTTTCACTTCGAGTGGTGCGCGTGTCGGGACCACGATTTCATAGTTCTGTGTCTTCGATCGTAATATGCTTTGAATCTTGTGTTCTGATTTTGCGTATGGTGAACGCGTAAGGGTAGCGCCGAAATGCCGTCGGCGAGCACGGGTGCGTATCCAGCACACGCCTGTGACTTAGGGTTCCTTCATGTGCGCTTTGCTTAGGGTGGTGGCATCTCGCCATTTTGTCTCACACGTTTATTTTTATTTTTTTGTTCAGAAGCGCGTGAAAGAGCGTGGCCCTGCATGCGTTTGTGGCGTTGACTGTACTATGGCGACCATTTGTTTTCGTTGATTTCTTTGTATTTTCCCCGTGAGCGCGCGCAGTCGGCATCGGATACTACAAAGGGTGGCATCACCCTAAACAGAACGACATTGAGGCACCCTACTGTGACTTTTCCTGATACTTTCGCTGGGCATGCACACTCGAAGTTCACGAAGGTCGCACGAGAAGTGGTTAACTACTCGTGCTGTTTCGAGCCTTCCAGTGACTATGATCCAAAGTTTTACCAAGGGGATGAACTCAGTGTCGATACGTGCGTAAAAGCAAAGCATACGAAGAATAGTCTTTTTTCTTGGCTTGCTACTGTTTGCTGATTACGCATTAAGATGCCTTCAATCCTTGTCATTTTACACTTGTCTTATTGGGAAGTTTTTGTAGAAAGTTTTTGTACACTGAACGATAACCTATGTCAATACGTTGCAAGCCCAAGGTTGCCAGCGGAATATCAGATTTTGTTATCTGAGTTTTAAAACAACCAACTTAAAAGCTTCTTGCTCCCATAATCGAAAAGAGGAAATGGCTACGTCCCAGGCACGTCCAATGTTGTGAGTTCATGCTTATACAGGATATTTTTTTTTTTATTCTTAACAGAACTTTACAGAATTAATTAAAAGAAGGTAGTAGATACGTGTATGTCGTCGACACTGTACATCCGTAGATCTCGGCGGACCCTACATGAGTGAATAACCGTTGCAATATTTTGAGTACTAAGCCGAATATGGTAATTAACTTTTTAATTAACGGTTTAATGGGCCATGTTGCAATCACAGCTTTAAAGGGAGCCATTATTAAAGGCCAACCCAATTTAGAAAGTTCGCGAATTAACAACGAGCTTTGAGATATTCATCGCCAAAATTTTGCCTTTCTACGCTTAATTGAAAAACCGCGCTCTGAAAGCGCGAATGAGGCTGTGCTGATATTGATGCGTAGAAGAATGACACAGTTGTTTCTGTCCCCTCGTCACTAACTCGACAGCGTGTCTTCGGTGGACTCGCCGGCGCCACACATCAAGACGACTAAGTCACTATTCTACGCATTATTTTCATAACGCGGTTTCTGAATCAAGCGAAGAAAGGCAAACTTTTACGATAAATTTCGCGAACCTCGTTGCCTTTTCACGAATTGTCGAAATTACGTTTGCCTTTAATAAGGACTCATTTTAAAACTGCAGTTGCACCATGGCCAATAAAGCCGTTAATAAACAAGTTAACTTACAGATTTGGTCAATTATTAAACATTGCAACGGTTATTCACCTATTTACTGTCCACCGAGCAATACAGATATAACGAAATACGGCATCCCCATATCTGCCACATCCTTGTTTTGTAAAATATGTAAAGTTCTGTAAAGAATAAAACAAAAGCACCCTGCATGTCTGCGTGAACCAGATACGCCCCCTGTGGAACCATGGGTCTTTTCCTTCGAATACCCAGCTCAGGCGAGACTTACCTGGTTGTCAGAAAGCAGCTGTCGGTTAAATGTATTGTTATGAGCGTGTGGGTTTCAGATGGTTTACCCTTACGAGGATAATGCGCTGCATATTGTAACCATGTATGCGCTGTACATTGTAACCCTTATTTCAATGCCGTGCTGTAAACTATTGCAACTTTTTCCTTGCCTGATCTACGTGTGCTCATGTTTTCTGCTCAAAATGATGTGAAATAGTTGCTTGTTTTCTTTGAATCTTATAAAGCATCACTTGTTCAGCCCACGTTGTCTCAGTTTCTGAACTTAAGTTCAATGTTAAAACGTGTGATAAAACTTGTCACGGCTTATATGCCATTTCTTACAAGTGAACGTCGGGTGGTCCACGGATGGTCGTGGCAGCCATGAAGAAATAAAATATTCTCACCCCTTTGCGACCGTCGCTTGGGTGGTTCGTCGCATAATTGAACACAAGAATGAGTGACAAGTGAAGCGAGCTGATTAAGGTCAAGGAAAAGAAGACGGGCAGAAAAGAAGAGAGAGAAGTTAACCTGGGGTATTAAAATCATACTAAAACAATCTCGGACTTTAGCATGTGCCGTTTCGTTCTTTTATAAAATAAGATAGAAAAAAGAAAACTGCTTCCGAGTTTTAGATATCCCTTTCAAATATCTAATGTTCGGCCTTTGCGACCAAGGAAATGGGCATTTCATTTAAAATGCTCACCATCCGACAAACCGAAAGTCGCAGCTGATTCTACGCTAAAACAACTTGCAATCCGTTTCTATAAAGTCGCAATTGTTTTTATGTAAAGGAAGGGTAATGTAGCTTGTACCGTCCAATGCATTGAAGCATCATGTTGCTAACGATCATGCCGCAGCGCAATTGATGCCGCGGTACGACCGCTCGCCCAGGTCGTAGTTGCATCAGAAATCCTATGTGCACTCCATCAAAGCGGCGCCAAAGATTCATATTTTCACGCGTGCAGCCGCGCATGCGCACACCTTCTGGATAACGCGCCGGTGTCGACACCTGTCGCGATCAATACCACGCACTTCAGGCGAGCCCCTCCGGTTCCAACACTACTCAAGTGTTCTAGTAGACTGTACTTACGAGGTCAATTACAACATACCCTTTGTAAACCCCATTAAGCAACACTGGCGGTCACCATTTCTTGGGGCTTTCTTAGGCTAGGTGGCGCAAGCTACCGCCCGTTGCAAAGGGTATAGATCCATATATTGGGGCACCAAGTGTGTGCTGGATCCGAGTCCTCGCTGAACTCTGACGTAGCACTCCTTCTCGATACGAAAGGAGCCGAGCCGAACTCGCGCCAAACGCCGACGCTGCCCTCGCATCCAACGCAGGTGCCCAGACAATGGCGCATTCCAATAATTGGCGCAACAGCTACTACATCGCGCGCACGTCTGAGAAGAGTTTGTTAGGTTTTGGGTGTTTCTGGGATAAACTGAAAGACCTAAAAAAAACAGCATCCAAGCCCTTTTGGTAAAAATCAAGGAAAATCAAAAATCCCCAAAATGTCTTCACAAAAAAAAAAAATATATATATATATATATATATATATATAAAGAAAAGAGCTTGATTGAAGATATTTTTATCCAAAGCTTTCTTTTGTGTTGATCCGGAGCGGAATTTCCAGTAAACTGTACAGGAAGCAGCTTCTTTCTTCGGGAACTATACACCACTTGCCAGAGCACTGCGACCATTGTAGGTTACTGTGGTCGTTACGAGAGATTAAGACTACGCGGGATTTACATGCTTACGACACTGGAGTGTCCAGTCCAAGATTCAAAGATGAAGATGCACTGCGTTCACACCAAATGCGCAGCGCAGTTTTTTGTTGAATAGGTATCAGTTGATCTAATACGACGTGCTCTTTATGTTGCCCGTTGATGGGCGTGCTGCTCGCGTTCCGATGCGCCAGAGACGCGTTTTGAAACGCTTGCTTTTCGTATCATAGATACTAAACACATGATGTGTCTACATACGTCTTTCATTTAATCTACGCTCACCTGTGCGTACTTGCTCCAGCGCTGCATCCCGGCCAACGTCTTACGAAACCTCATTTGCGGGGTCCTAGCGTTAAACCAAAACAGCGCCTCGCCTCCCGGCTTCATCAGCTTAACGACGTTCTTTAACGCCTTCTCCTGGTCCTTGAGCCAGTTGAAGCAGAGGAGCGAGTAGACGCGGTCGAAGAGCCCGTACCGCTCCACGAAGTCGGACACGTCATCCGCCAGGATGTCCAGGGCGGCGTAGCAGATCTTGGGGTGGGCGAAATGTTCCCTCGCGTACTTCAGCATGTATTCGGATGCGTCGACGGCGACGAACCTTCGGCAAGGTGGGCACTGGGGTAAGAGCACGTCGCGGGTGACATTACCACTGCCGCAACCCAAGTCGAGGAACTGCTGGTCTTCGGTTGGGCCTCTCGGGAACGTGGCTAGCACAGCGCGCAGTTCGTCTGCTGCTATTGTGAACCACTTTGCGGAGGTAACGTTTACGTAGAGCTCTGGCATCAGCGTGGTCTGTGTGGGTTCTGTGTGCACCATTGCGGCAAACTTGATGCGCGAGAGAGGAAGCTAAATGGTCGCGTCACCAGCAAGCAGTCAGAATGATAACTATACGCTGGATGGGGTCCTTTTTAACTCCGAATCGGCTGCTGGGCCACGTCAGTGATCTGAGATCAGCGTGCTCGTTCCAGGATGGCTCAACGGATGTGGGGTCGCAAGTGTGCAAGTGGGTTCGGTTTACACGTTCGCGTTTCTCCGAACACACAGATGCTTCAAAAAGTCAGTATTACTCCAGCTGTTTTATTTATGGATCACGTATCCGGTGCAGGCACGTATTACTGCGACCAACGTTTATATGGATCACATGTACATGCAGGATGCTTTTCCTCGAATTAGAACGATTTCTGCTACACGAACTAGGGGGACCAGTGGCCCACTGTGTTAAAGGACGACGGCTCGCAGCACGTGGAGCTTTCGCTTCATGTGCTCTGTGACATGAAGAGTACATTTCCTCGAAATATTGCAATTCTCGCTACACATACGCACAAAAAAAAAAAAAAAACCAGGATAATTTATTTTGTGTTGCCTTGTTGTACAGTTGCTATTCCATGTTTGTTTTTATTGGATGAACCTAACTGGTTTAGAGGCGAAGCTTTTAACTATGCGCGCATTCCGTGCATGCAATTTATCACAGCCGAAAATGGATTCTATGGTCCCTTTAACGCAGCGCAGCTCGGAGCTCGTGGAGCAAAGGCTCGCGCTGCAGAACCCAGAGATCGTGGGTTCAATCTCCTCCCCTGCCCCTTTTGATCCGGATTGGGGGGGGGGGGGGGGGGGAGAGAGAGAGAGAGAGAGAGACTAAATGTTTTATTTACATCCAGATATACGTCCTGGGTCTTGTTTCACCACTCCTCGTCCAGCATGTCTTCGACATGCTGAATCAGGAGCGGTCAGAAGGTTTCCTCGGTCCCCCGGCAGGGGGATTCGCCCACTCTTCCCAGCTCCCGGGCTTGAGCGTGTCTGGAAAGGCCTGCAATGTTGCTCGAGTTCTGGCTGCTACATATTGGGGCCATCCCAAAGTTAATGGGCACTACTGGGGTACTGGTTGAAGGTAGTGCACCGTGGAGAGCCTTCTGCGCGATCCGGATGACCAGCGTACCGGCACGGCCGCTCGATCCCTTCCAGCGGGGGAGGGAATCACGAGACCGTGGTATAGGCGTATGGTCGTGTATCGCTACTGCGTGATGCACTTGAAGACCTCAAACTAGCAGTCGCATTCCACTGGCTATATTTGTTATCTGTACAAAAAAGTGAAAGCCGTTTACAACTTCCCTCCTCTTCCTCAAGAGCGCAGCTCTTGAGGAAGAGGAGGGAAGGGTACTGAAGGGAGAGTAAACCCCTCCTCCTCCTTTTCCTCCTCCTCCCCTCATTCTTGAATATGCTCCGAGGGGGTCATCTGACCTCGGGGGGAGGGGGGTGACGTGACCTCGGGGGGGGGGGGTGTCACGTGACTTCGGGGGGGGGGGGGTCACGTGACACAGGGAGGGGGTCACGTGACCTCTGGGGGGTCATGTGACTTGTGGAGTCACGTGACCTTGGGTGTCACGTGCCCGTGGGGGTCACGTGACATCTGGCAGTCACGTGACCTTGGGTGACCTTGGCGGGTCACCTGACCTTGGGGTGACCTTGCGGGGTCACGTGACCTCGCGGTTACGCCGACGGCGACAGCGACGCCGACGCCGACGCCGACGCCGCTCAAGCCGGAAACAGGCGCCTAAGAGCTGCGCTCTAAAAAAAAAACGGAAGGAGAGGAGTAGATTAGAGCGTGTGGTGATGGCGTTGCTTTGAGATCTAACTTCGAATAATTAGTGCGTATAGATTCAGCGCGTGCAGCAGACGACACACTTGTTCACACTGGTTGGAGGGAGACAGCGGCTAGACAAAGGCAGATAGCCTTTGCATATGCCCACTAATCGTTATCTCATCTCCTCCTGTTCTTCTGAGCGTATAGCGGAGACACCGGACACCCAATTGGAGCTGATTTATTCCCCACTGCAGTCGCCTTAAATGTTATATACCTTTTAATGTATCTTCAAATTGTACACCTAAGGTGCAATAAATCCGAGAGATGTGAAAGTGCGAATGACTTCAAGAAGCCGTAAAACAATACTTGGTCTTCAGTCAACTAATTATGAAAGTTGTTTCCTGTCACGTCTTCAGTAAAAAAAGAAAAAAAACGGAAAACCAATTTTGCCTGCGTGCGCTGCTTCTTTAAAAAGAGCCAGAGCTTAAAGTTTTGGGCGCCTGCCAACCTCTTTAAACTCCCACACCGTCTTTTGTGTCACGCGTGGAGTGACGTGTAGCCGGGCTCGAGGCACGTAGCCAGGAGGGGGGGGGGGGGGGGGGGGGGGGGGGGGGCATGGGGCCCGGCTTTCCCCCCCCCCCCCGAAATCTTTCGTTTTGCTGGGACCTCCTCTCCCCTCTCCCCCTCATACAGTATTTTATCAAAGGCGCCCCCCCCCCCCCAAACTCCCCCCCCCCGAACAAATTCCTGGCTACGTGCATGCCGGGCGCACTGCAGGGGCACCGAGCTTCTGGTTAGGTTTTCTCTTCAGATCCCCCAGAACGCGCTCCACACGTTTGCAAGTACGGGCACAGGTCGCCCGCCATCTTGCTCTTCTGGGGTGCGCTTGGGCGCGTCATAATTTGACTACAACGCCTTTGTCGTAATCGGATATGACACTCCCAATCGCACCCCAACTGAGCAAGATGGCGGTGCCCCGAGGCCGTAGTTGCAAAAGTTGTGTTTCCGTAAAAGCTTTAAAAAAATCCCTAAAAATGTGCTGTTAGATATACGAAGAAACACTTTGTGGGAGCAAACTACCAGCCTCGGCGGACGTCGAGGATGACAAAAGATACTAATTAACAAAATAATAAACTAAAATTTTCTAGTTCAATATTAGTGAAAATAAACATATGGTTCCACTGAGAAACTTGCTAGGTTTCATCGAAAACCACTAAATCAACTCTTACTACAAATATTTAGGGCAGGGGAAGAATTTTACGATGGTCTGAATAAACGTTCAGTTTGGACGCGTTTCTAAGTTTTCGTTTCTTATCGGAACGCATATTTGCGCCCGCAGTCCTGCTCTCCGATGGTCGCGGCGCGAAGCAACCGCCTCGCACCCCCTCGTAGTGTGGAACCTGGAGGAATGTATGGAGCCATGGCCTTCGAGATCCCGAAGCGCGCGCGCAATGGAGCACGTGTGCTGCGCCTCTCGGCTATTGGGGAGCAGGACCGCGGGCGAAGAGATGAGCTCCGACAAGAAACCGAAATTTAGAAATGCGTCCCAATTGAGCCTTTCTAGGGAACGCCGTAAAACGCTGCCCAGGTGGAATGTAATGTAACACGTAAGTAAGTTTTCGACATATGAATAGAGTTACTGGGCTCTCCCCAGCGGCACGTAATTAACGAATTAAATTTTTCGTATCCTGACAATCGGGGATTCTGGGCTAATCGTGACTCACATGTTACAATAATGGTGTATTTATACTTAAAATCTAACTGGCGGAAGTTAGTCTCTACCCGTGCGTTCCATTGAAACACTGTAACAGTTTTATGAATGTCTTCCATAAGCTGGCACCTTTTCCTTTTTTACCATTTCAGTTATCACCTGACGACACTAGCTGGTGTTCCATTGCGAAGAAGGACCTGACTTCTGGAAGTATTTTGGTTTTAGGGCATATCTTTGGTGTGGCTTTCAGTCCAGGAAAAAAATCATTGGAGTCATTATCTGGCTCATATCCCCTTGCTAAAGAAAATCAAATCGTGGCAGATTTGAAGATGGCATAGCTCTAATGGGCAGATAGTTTTTGGATGACTGAATATTGCCCGATGCACGTCGTCCTGACGAGGTCGGTGTTGCCATAAAAAGATCCTTGATTTGGTTTCTGTGTGGTGTTTTCTTGTTTCTCCTTGTTACAATGCGCCCTGCGCATTTTCCTTGTATGTTTCAGCACGATGGAGTAGACAGACTGCCCTGACGTTGCTTGGTGAGAGTAGACTGGGGCACCCCAGCAGGTACTCGGACAATTTCAAGATTTGGTGCCTGGCGCATTAGATTCCTTACATTCCGCATATTGGAGCGAAACGCTGCGGATGCGGCTTGCTTCCGTGAACACCCAGAAAAAGTTCATAAATTATTCCCGCTACAATTAGCGTATTTAATATCGTGCTTTTTGGTGCAGTCCTTATAACGATGTGATCCTGCGGAGATCTTAGAGCGTTGGAGTCCCCTGGAATATTTCGCAACATGGCCGTATTTTTGGCACATGATATTTCGGATCTCCGCATGGGAGCTCCGAAATATCCCTCGAATGGGTGCTTTCTGAAGCCAGGAAATACGCACTGAGGCATCGGGCGATCTACGCGAAAGATCAGGACAACACTTTCAGATGGTTTCGTTTCAACGCTCCTATAATCTCTCTGAAGATAGACTATTCGTCGCTGTAAGGATGTTACGCCGTTTTCAAGTAGATACTCCAGGAGTGCAGATTTGGAATATTCGAGAGAAACGTTCTCGATTTCCCCCAGATTTCTTGAACACGTCTGGGACACGTGTGCAGTGACGTCTATGCTGCCCAGAGACTGCAGAGTCAGTAGCTTGTTTGCCGAACGGAGCGATGGCACAATGACTGAGTGGCTACCGTCCTTGTTGATTTTATGCGAAATGATCTTCTGCGTAACCGCAACAATATTATTTGCTATTGAGCTGGGGTTTACGTGACAAAATGGTCAGGATATGGTTGGCTCGAAGCTCGCGAGGATGCCAGGTGGTCTGTTTCTTTTTTTATATGCTACTTCAGTGAATGGTGTTGAATCCTCGTTGTCGCCATTCGCGTCAAGGTGATAGCACGACGTCGCGTCGTCCTTTGCAGGTGTGCGCACCCTTTTGGAAGAGATCACGACGTCTGTCTGGTTAGTGCTGACATTTTCCGTCGAGTAGTTCATTGAACAGTGCTGCTTGGATGATGCCGAG